GGTAAGATGAAGGGTAAGAGAAAAAGAGGAAGACCCCCAACGAGATGGATCGGCCAGGTATCATCATTGATGGCGTCAAGTGTGGCAGCGGTAGTGAAGTTGGCCCAGGATCGGACATTGTTTTGTTCTGCTGTGCATGGGGTCGCTATGAGTCAGTTCCGACTCGATGGTACCTGACAACAACAACAACATTCTCAAAAGAGACGTCTGCCACCCTCAGCCTACCTATACCAGTTCACAGGAAAATATATCGACACTAAAGCACACACAGACATAGATCAGACACGATTATCCTTTCAGTAAGTATTTGGTCCTACTAAGTGCCAGGCACTGAGGAAGAAAACTGATGAGCTAAAACTAGTCCCTGCCATCATGGAGAATAATCCACTAGGTGTGGTGCTGTGTGTTAATGCGCCAGACTGCAAAGCCATTTACACTGCAAGGTTGGCAATTCAACCTCACCAGCTGCTCCTCGGGGACCCTAAACAGGGTCGCTATGGGTCGGGACCGACTCAACAGCACTTAACAACAACAACAACAATGGGAAAGACTCGGTGTGTCGCTGTAGGATCAGCATTGGATTGTGGACAGGTCAGCAGTTCAAACCTTGGAACCCCTATACAGAATTGCTGCGAGTCGGAACCGACTCAACATTGCTTAACAACAGCAACTGGGGGCAAAAGACTTAGCCAAAATGATTTTATAAATAAATCACAGCATGGGGATTTCGCATCTGACACACCCAAAGCAAACATAACATTCAGCTTATACACATAGAACCCAAGTCTTTCCAGGATAGAGGAGAAGAGCTTCCCTTAAATCAGCTGATCAGACAGACTGTAGACTGAGGGGTCCCACTAGCCTGAATCTAGGTGTTTCTGATTCTGAAACACAGAGAGTGTTTGCCATCCCATTGCGCCTAGGAAGTGATCTGTGTGGGAGACTATTGAACTCCTTAGAATACTTAGCGGGTAAAAGTACATAATGCTTTACTAAAATAATTACCTTTAAAGAATAATTTCATGAGCATTTAGTAGATCATAGGAGTCCTGGTGTGGCACTGTAGGATAAGGTCAGTTGAACCGCAAGATTGGTGGTTCAAACTCACCTTAGAAACCCTATACAGGGTCATTGTGAGTTGGAACTGACTTGGCGACACTTAACAACAACAACATAGTAGGCTACAAAGAGGACTGAAGAAAGACCAATGCATTTAAATTATGGTGTTCAAAAGTAATATTGAAAATACCATGGAATATCAGAAGAATAAACAAATCTGTGTTGGAAGAAGTACAGCTTGAATGCTCCTTAGAAGCGAGATTAGCAAGACTTCATCTCTTTTTCTCTGGACATGTTGTCAGGAGGGATCAGTCCCTGGAGAAGGACATCATACTTGGTAAAGTGGAGGCTCAACTGATAAGGATTGGCACAATAGTGGCAACAATGTGCTTAATCATAACAACAATTGGTAGGGTAGTGCAGGACTGGGCAATGTTTCATTCTGTTATGCACAGGGTCACTTGAGTTGGTACTGACTCCAGGGAACCGAACAAAAACAACAACCTAGTAAGTAGGTAAGGCCCCAGCTCCCTGCCATCAAGTCAATTTCAATTCATACTGTTGTTAAGTGGAAACCATTCCAACTCATAGTGACCCTGTATAGGGTTTACAAGGAGCAGCTGGTGAGTTTCAACTACCAACCTGGCAGTTCAAACCCACCTTGTACTCCAGTGCTTATCCTACGGTGCCACCCCAGAACACTCCGCATTTTGCCTTATGGGTGACACCCCTAGGGCAGAGTAGAACTGCCCCCAGGGCTTCCAGAGCTGTCAATCATTCTGAAAACAGACTGCCTTCTCTTTCACCTGCGCAGCAGCTCATGGGTTCAAACCGCCCACATTTCGATTAGCAGCCCAATGCTTAACCCACCATGCCACCAGGGCTCCTACTTGGTGGGTAGAAAATTCAAAAGGTACAGTGAAATGTAAATTTCCCTTTCTCCCCAAACCCCATCCAAATGCAAGACATTTTAGATGAATGGATGTCTGGTTGATAATGCTGGGGAGGATGGGGAGTGGGGGGTGGAGTGCAAATATCAGATTTATAAATAACTGTTGGTGTTAAGTGTCATCAAGTCAGTTTGACTCAGGGGACGCCTTACAAATACCTAGTTCCAGGTAAGTAATGGAGTAAATAGTGTGTGCTGTAGGATATGCACGGGACTGCTAACCATAAGGATGGCGGTTCAAACCCACCAACCTCTCCTTAGAAACTCTATTCAGGGTCACTGTGAATTGAAACAGACTCAATGGCACTTAACAACAACTTAAAATAATATATGCTTAAAAGAAAACACTACAGTTGTTTTCATTTTTAAATGTATGACTCAGAAAAAGAGGCATTGAAATATAAAACAGATTTTTTTTAAGGCTACTGGGTTAATCCCATCCAGGATAGAGACAAATAGACAAAGGAAATGGAATGGGTCATGTGAGTAAAGTTGGTTTGGGATTCCACATTCCTCCCTCTTTTTTCTCCTCCTCACTTTCCCCTC